TAAATTAAAATTATATTAATTAAATTAAGCCATTTCATAATTAAAATTATATTAATCAAATTAAGCCATTTCATAATTAAAATTATATTAACATAATTGCATTGAATACTTAGGAAAATTAAATAGATGAGGACATCTAAATAATTCCCTTTTAATCATTAACTTGATAATTAAATAAGTGTGGACACTCATACTAAGTATAAAATGAACGACATGAGGTTGGGGTGTTACAAATAGCATGTCCCCCTACTGAAGCAGGAAGTTTTGTTCTCATTATCAATGGTCTAGCTATGAGTTGCAGTCGTTTAATTAATGATTCTGCTAGACCATTTTGAGTATGAACATGCGCCACAGGATGTTCAACATCAATTCCCACTACCATACAATTATCATTAAATGCTTGAGATGTAAACTCACCAGCATTGTCAAGTCTGACCTTTTTGATAATATAATCTGGGAGTTGAGCCCTTAACTAAATAAGTTGGGTGAGTAATTTAGCGAAGGCCACATTTCGAGTTGATAACAAACTCACATGAGACCATCTACTCGAGGCATCAATCAATACCATAAAATATCTGAATGGACCGCAAGATGGATGAATAGGTCCACATATATCACCATGAATCCTTTATAAAAATAATGGTGATTGATGTCCGATTTTAGTGTGTGATGGTCTCACTATCAATTTCCCTTGAGAAGATGAGGCACATGTCAATTCATGCGTTTGCAATATCCTCTGATTTTTTAATGGATGACCATTAGAATTTTCAATAATTCTTTTCATCATTATCGAGCCAGGGTGGCCAAGTCGATCATGCCAAAGTTTAAACATTCCTTTCGATTTTGAAATGGCTGCAGCGTAAACCTCGATTATATTGATGTGAGTATAATATAAACCCGAGGATAGAGCGGGTAGCTTCTCCAAAACACATTTGTTTCCCGCAATATTTGAGGTAATGCAAAGATATTCATCTCCCCCTTTATTCATTGTTTCAACGTAGTATCCGTTCATTCGGATATCTTTAAAACTCAACAAGTTTCTTGTTGATTTTGGGGAGAATAATGCATTATTCACTATAAATTTTGTACCACCCATCATAAAAAATATGGCCTTTCCAAACCCATCAATTATTTTTGCACTTCCTGATATTGTGTGCACTTTCGTTTTATTTACTTCTAATTGAACAAAATATTTTCTGTCTTTAAGTATAGTGTGGGTAGTGGCACAATCTGCAAGACATATATCTCCATTTTGGATTCGTGATTGTTCCATGATCTAAAACAAGAAAAATGAAAAATATTATTGATCAATTTCCAAATACATATAACAATGTTCCAAACAGCATTACAATCACACTCAATACATAAAACAAACATGATGATCATTTATTCTTCATTATTTGCAGTTGCTTCCCCAAACACTGCATCATCAAAATCCATTCTTAGCATGTCATCGAAATTATAATTATCATCTTCACGTATTGTATCATTTTCGGAAGATTCCCCCACCATAAAATTAGTTTCAATATTCTTCTCTTTTGCTTTCTGGGAATCCTGATATCTTTCAACCACGTGCGGTGGGGCTCGATAATTTCGAGCCCAATGGTTATTTCTCACACATCGATAACATGCATTTTCATCGTTATTTTTCACAACTTTTTCTTCCCTTTTATTATTTTCAGAATTTTTCTGAAAATTTCTCCCCTTTTCATAATTTTGGGCATCATTTTTTCCATGTCCACGATAATTACCTCGACCAGATTTGTATCCTGGGTAAAAATTTCGGCCTCGTCCATATCTCTGTCTGGACCATATCCACGACCACGTCCACGGCCACGATTACGACTGAGTTATATCCACGTCCATAATTATGGTTGTTTTCATTTCTGGGTCCCTATTTAGATATTACAGCATTCATCTCAGGGACCGCAGTACCCGTGGGTCTAGATTCATGATTTTTCATCAAAAGCTGATAAGTTTTTTTCAGCCAGCAACAAACAAGAAATTAGTTCAGAATATTTTTCAAAGCCTTTTGCTCGATATTGTTGTTGCAACAATACCATGGATGCGTGGAATGTGGACAATGTTTTTTCCAACATATCATAGTCAGTTACCGTTTCCCCACATAATTTCAGCACTGAGCAAATTCGAAACATTGCTGAATTATATTCGCTTACTGTTTTAAAATCTTGGAAACGTAACGACATCCATTCATGACGTGCCCGGGGGAGAATAACTGTTTTTCGATGATCATATCTGTCGTTCAATGCTTTGCAAAGATATGCTGGATCTTTGATAGTTAAGTATTCATTTTTCAATCACTCATTCATATGATGCCTTATAAAAATCATGGCTTTTGCCTTTTCTTGTAGGGATGAATCATTTGGAGAAATTATTGTTTTTCCCAATCCCATGGTATCTAAATGAATTTCAGCATCTAATGTCCATGAAATATAGTTTTTCCCAGATATGTCAAGTGCTTTAAACTCGAGCTTTACCAAATTCGACATGGTAACTATAAAATAATACATCAATGCTTAAATTTAATAACCAATAAAAAAATTACCTATATGATCATTACTTCTTCAAAACGTACAGAAGAGCAAATAAGAGACAGATTATACAAAGACCTAATACATAAAATATAAATTCAGTGGTATGATACATCATCGTGAAAATTCTCAAAGCGTATATAATAAACAATATAATTGTAATTATAAATAGTAGATGAAACATTTTTTTTTTTCGTTTGAGGGGAATATATTGAAGTATTTGGAATGAGTGTTAATACATGAAGTGTAATGTTATATATATGTACAT